AAGTATTATCAGAAAAAGATGGAGCTACCATTCTCCAAAAGATGGCTGGACTTTTTGCACTGGCAGCCTCTATCAAGCGTTGCCAGGATGTCCATATGGCTTCCCTTTTTTTTTTTTGTCAAGTTAACTGTTTGGACTGTTTTTTCATTTTCACTAGCTCAGAGACTGTACAGGAGCCAGGAATCTCTTTATATAGCTTGAAATGATAATTTAAAGAATCCCAGGCTTCCCGGCATTCATGGTCAAACCAAGCATGCCGTGACCTTAGGTCATGTCTTATTGCCACTGGTTGTGGGGCAGTTAGCAGAGACCAGAATGATCTAGCTAGACTGTTAAAGTTGGCCAGTAAGGTATTATCTATCTTGCCAGCAATTCCCTTTATGTGCTTTACCGTTCTTGCCTGTTAAAAGCAAATTCCTTCTTGTGGTAAACAACAAGGTGGGGGAAGGGTTTTCTTTGGGGCGAAGGCAGAGGGGAAAAGAAGTTGTGCTACAATCGTGACCCTGTCTTGCTACTCCCTTCACCAGCTGTTTTTTTTAAATCTCTTCTGCACCCATAGGGAAAAGCCATCTGTCCTTCCAATCTTCCATTCCCCTGAAAAAAACGGAGAGATTTGTTGCTTTTTAACATGAATTTTGTTTTAATTGGAATGTTTTTATTGTCTACGTCTATTTCAGCTTGCTTTTATTGTTGCTTGTTTATCTAATTGCTTTTATTGAAGATTGCTTTACTGTTCCTTCTTTTTGTTTATTGCATTGTGCTCCTTCGGGAGGAACGGTGTAGGAGAAGGCAATGACTAACAAAAATAATTAAAAATAACTGAGTGGCTTTTCTCAGCATGATGACTGGGTGGCGGAGAAGGGGCAGAATTATGGAGCAAAAGCTTAGCTGAATGCTAGTGCTGTAGAGTTGAAGACAGACTGAAGAACACAGAGACATAATTTTAAATGAGTGACACAAGCACAGGTGCCTTTCTATCAGTGAAACTGCACAACGTGAAGAAAGAGGGATGAGCAGGTTTTAGGTAGGATCCCCCAATAATCTCATGTACACAGTTGGCTGAGAGCAAACACCTCTAAAAACTCTTTAAGAAACCATTTTTTTTATTCCTCTTCCCCCTCCCTTGTGATTTATTACCTGGAGGACTCTGTCATAAGGCTTGAGTCCACATTGGTCAGCTGGCCCAGCTGGACGGATCATATTCACATAGACACCCTTTTCTAGCAAGCCATCGGAGACACTGAACCCAAAGTCTTCAGTCTCTGGATCCTTGTAAATTGTCATCTATAGGAAAAGGTAACGTTAATTGGGTTGACAGTAAAAATCAACCTGGGTGTGTAAGATGGAGGTGCTGAAGAGCTTGCAGGGAGTGACATTATAAAATATTCAACAACTTGGGCAAATGAAGTGCCCACTGTACCACTCTAGCTTATTTATCAGACACTGAAGACTTGAATTCAAGACCTTACTTAGCCATTGCCTTGGGACAACTTACTTTCTCTCAATATGAACTATTTTACCAGAGTGTTAAAAAAATATTACAGGTGTGAGATCCATTATCAAAGTTTGCCACTTTCAGTTCCTTGAAGGAAGAGCAGGTAAATAAAAAAGAAATTCATGTTATATTGCACAAGGAGTGTTTTTAACTGGCTATATTGGAATCATCCAGAGATCTGTGTTCAGAAACTCCTGATAATACAACTAATATCCTGCTCCAAAAGAGTAACATGACACTATTTTATTAAGAATAATCATGAAGCTGCTATCCATGGCGAATATAAACCATGCTTTCTAAGAGGATAGAAGACACTTGTATGCAGGAACTTAGTCACACATATCAATGATTTGTGATGACATAGGCACAGAAAAGTGATTAAACACCTGCATTCACTTAGCCTGAACATTTCATAACTACCCAGTCTACCCTTGAACACCTGCTGATAGGCATTCAGGCACTCAGCCCCACTAGCTTATCACAGTGTCTTCAAAACTGCATCATTTAATAACTACACAAGTCACTCTGAAAGATGCAGAGTCTATGACTGGCTTTGGTTCATTAACAGTGGATAATCTTTGACTGTATTCTGACTAATTATCCTCCAGTACTGAGGTCTCCATGATGCCCTGGACACTAATCAGTTCCCTATTCCACTCACCTTTTAATATTCTTTAGATACTTGTATTTTTTTTTAATGGGAAGCTGGTATGTTACAAAACACAGTACTAGAATCATAATTATTTCTAAGAATTCCTTTGAGTTCCATATGTATTCCAGATTTATTCTTTAAAATGAAGGAGGGTGTTCACAACAACCCAGGGCATTAAAGTACAGTGTTTGGGTTGTATTTTTATCCAAAAAGACAAATTGAGCTGGAAAAAAGTAGGGAGCATCTTTGAGGGGGTAGAAGGGGAAAGATCAGGGCTGGAGTATCCTCACCAGTTTGTCTTACAGTAAACGGATGTTTGCAACTGATCACTCCCAACATGAGAGCCGTGTTAATGGGCAAGCTACCTTGTGACAGGCATTTTGATGTGTTCCAAATTCCAAATGTGCTCTTTGCTCCTAAAAACTGGAGAGTTGGCAACCCTTTGGTGTCAAAATTGGTATCATTAGCCATGCTGTGCTCTGGTTTTGAGAGGTGGGAAGGAACCTTGATCAGATACCCTCAGATGATCTTTCTCTGTGCATTGGGACTGCCTGTCCTCTTCATCTGGTCCCATTCTACATGCTACAATGTACCCCCAAATGATACATATCAGGGATTTTAACCCCAAACCAGTTCATCCCAGAGCTGGAAACAGTATTTGGCTGTGGAAAAGGTAAAGAAACAATCAGAAATTTAGGTACACCAATATGGCTTTTATTATGAAAGGAGAGATATTAGTCATAATTATACTACAGTATTTGGCTAACTCTATGGTGCTCACCAGAGATGAGGAAAGGCTTAGGTGAGGTAGAAAAAGCAGGCAAGAAAGGAGACAGATAGATTTCTAATCAGGTAGGAGAAAGAGATTGAAAGGTAAACAGTACTTGGGCATAAGAGGGAGGAGAAAGCCCCTTGATGATTAGAGAGGAAACAGAATGAGAGAAGGAAGGAAGATTAAAACATGCTACCAATTTCAAAATCTGAGTATGGGGTGAGTTGGGGAGAACAATCTTTTGTAACATGGGTGCAGTTATTTTGGATCAGAATGCCAGGGTTGTACAGATTAATGATCAATACACACTGGGTGAAATCGCTTGGTTTTTGGCCAACAAGCTGCAATTTATCTGTGAAAAGCCTGGAAAAAGGTTATGACAGAGTGGGTATCTGATGGCCAGCTAAGGCCATAAAAGTTCCCTTATCTGCCTCTTCTCTCCTTCCAACCCTCTTGTAAGGCACTAAGCTTATAAGCAATGAAACAATCTTGCTGAACAAGGGACATATATTTTTAGAAGTACCTGATTGAAGGAACTCTCGGGGCAGAAAATAAAAATATAATTTACCCACTAACTATGTAAAGTATCTTTTTGAAAAAAAGGCAAAAGATGTTCAACAGTTAGGATTTTATTTTCTCCCTAAGGGTATTTAGCACAAAAAATTGTAGAACATAGGGCTGAGTGCAAGTTTGAAGCACGTGTTTTTAATCTGAAAGTGCTAATATTCAACTGAATGTTTCTGATATGGGTGTTCAGTGCTTCCTAAATGGTGTTATTTCTCATTATACCTCTAGGTAAGCAAATCAATAGATCCATGAAGGACCAAGTAAAGAGCTGAACACTGACATAACCTGGAGGTCAAATGCCTAATGAGCATAGGAAGAGAACCATACCTCTTGCCTAGAACATGAGGGAAAACTAATGATTATTTACAACTCATTTTGCCCTGTATAGCCAACTTCTCCTTAGATTTCTTTCCAGATAAAATTGAGATTTTGAGAGCTCAAGACAGCTACTCAAAAAGGGGAATTTTAAATAGGAGGAAGAACAGGAGGAGGAGGAGGAGGAGGAGGAGGAGGAAGATTGTCAGCATAATATCCTAATGCTCAAACAAAAAGAAGAGATGATAACAAGACAGCTACTCAAAAAGGGGAATTTTAAAGAGGAGGAGGAAGATTGTCAGCATAATATCCTAATGCTCAAACAAAAAGAAGAGATGATAACAAGACAGCTACTCAAAAAGGGGAATTTTAAAGAGGAGGAGGAAGATTGTCAGCATAATATCCTAATGCTCAAACAAAAAGAAGAGATGATAAAATGCTCAAACAAAAAGAAGAGATGATAAAAAATAATTGCTTCTTTTCTCACTCCTGCCACAGTTTGGTTGCTCAGAAATTACAGGAGCAGGCAACAACCTCAAAGAGAACAGCAGGTCCAAGAGTGGAGCAACTGGCTCTGATAGATGTCCAATGACATGGACCCCTTGATCCCAAGCAGAACAGTTAGGTGAAAGAGGGTGAGATACTAAATAGAACGCTTAATTTTTCTAATCTAATATCAGGATTCATAATGAATATTGTTAATCAAAACAGTATATATGTATGTTGCAATCAGGTATGCTAATAGAAGCTTCAAATATTATAGCCTTAAAGTTGCCCCTTTTCCATTTAATGAAAAGTTTGTTTCTCTTGAATCAGGTGTATATTCAAAAAGACTTCAATAAAAATTAATTCCAGGAAGGCAGGGGCAAGAATCCTTTTAGAAGTCAGAAGCTCCAGTTTCTATCTGGAAGGCAACAAAAAGAGTTCAAGACCTGCTTACAAGCTGTGGATTACACACCCATGTAGTAGTGTATCCATATATTGTACTTCAATTCTCATTTCTAAGCACCTTAAAAACAATTATCAAAAGTCAACACAAATTTGTCAAGAACAAGTCTTGCTGTACTAAATTTCCTTTTCTCATCAATTAACTTCCTAAATAGATTGAGGAAATGATGTAAATGTACTATATCCTGGTTTTAGCAGAGCATTTGAAAAAGGAATCCATAGCATTTTGATTAGCAAGCTAGCTAAATGTGGGTTAGATAATTATGTGGACAGCTGGCTTTTAAGTGGATGACAATTAAGGAGACAGCTGGCTTAAAAATTCATCAACAGTTCCTCATCAAATTGATGTCAAATGAGGTTCAGTCCTAGGCTTATACCAGGTATGTAGGGAGGTATGAATAGGTATGTATGCATGTATATATTTTATTGTATTTTACAGGTAGTCCCTGTTTAACAATCATTCCTTTAATGACAGTTGAAAGTTACAACGGCCTCAGAAAAAGTGCTTTATGACCTGTACAGTGGAACCTCGGGTTACGAACGCTTCTGTTAACGAACTTTTCGGGTTACGACCACCTCCGGCCGCAAAATTTTGCTTCAGTTTGCGAACTCCGCCTTGGGGTATGAACAGGATACGTGGCCATTTTCCGCCCCTGACACGTGGTCCGTGGCCATTTTTCCACCCCTGACACGTGGTCTGCGGCCATTTTTCCGCCTGACACGTGGTCCGCGGCCATTTTTCTGCCCCTGACACGTGGTCCGTGGCCATTTTTCCACCCAACACGTGGTCCGTGGCCATTTTCCGCTCCTGACACGTGGTTGTAGGGAGG